GCTTCTCACTTTAATAATAATAAGGTTTATTTGTAAAGCACATCTTCGGCGCTGCGAAGATAATGTCGGTGATGCTGCGATAACAATGAGAGCAACGCTGGCTTTCTGGTAGGATCCCCCCCTTCCAGATGATTGTTGAGAGTATTTAGGAGAAGAAGAGTGACGGTTTTTCCGGCGATAATGATCAACAAAATTCCAGTTTGATTGCCACAGTCTTGGCAGTTCCCGTTTAGCTTGTAAAGTTGGACAGCTGTGCAGTCCTTTATGCCCTGGGGGCTTGGACTCGTTGCCACATCTCCTGGAAAAACGTGGATAGGTGGGGTTTAATTTGCTGGCCGCCGTATTTGTAAATCTCGGAGGGGATCGCATCGGATCCGTGTGCATTCCCGATGGAGACTTTCTGCACAGCCTTGGTGGTTTCCTTAAGAGTGCGTGGGCAGTCGGGGCCAACTCTGATATCCACCTGATGCAGGTGGTCGATGGCGGCATCAGAGTAGATATAGGGACGATTGAGTACGTCTTGGAAGTGTTCAGCTCACTGTTTCAGAGCCTAAGTCTTTTCAGTGGGTAGGGTATTTCCGTCAGCACTGAGAAGAGGAACTGTTCCTCTGACTATGGGACTACAGACAGTCTTCTTTGCAGCGAAGCAATTCTTCTATTCGTTGCAGTCTATATCACCTTGGATTTCCTCGCACTTGCGAGTCATTCAGGGACCCTGCATTTTGCAGAGCCGCTGCTGTACATGATGACGAATTTGACAAAAAAAGATTTTGGTAGCGTAGGCTTTGTACAGGTGGTTCTGCTCAGCGAGCAGATACTTGATTACGGCGTCATTTTCGGCGAACCGGCCCTAATTTTTACGACGTGCGCTGCCAAGGACTCATTGGGTAGTAGATTGTACTATGTCTCTCGTGTTAGCACGATCGGTTCTCCACGGATGCCTTCTCATCTGCGACTGGAAGATTGTCTGGCCATTGAGCCAGCTCGTTGCCGAAATGCAGATGGTTAGCAGGCAGATTCAACAAAACAGTATTCAACTTAACTGGGGGTCGCTTACCATGAGGTCTCCTGTGTGGCTGAAGGCGGATCCTCATCTTGGAGAAGAGGAGACAGTGATCAGTCCATCCGTCGGCGCTCAGGATCACGTTTTTCATAGTCCAGAAGATGCCACTGCCGGGACCAGGCGTACATCCAAGTCGCCTTGTGCTGCAGTGGAAGGAAAAATCAGGCGTTGGTCAGGATACGACAGTGCTCTGCACAGGAATAGACCATTGTCATTAAATCCGCGGAGACTGTAGGGACCCAGCACTCCTCTTCAGGCAGTATGGTCTGTGCCGATGCGAGCATTCAACTCATAGAGGACGATCAACTTGACCGCCTTCGGTACAGTCACCAGGAGGAAGTTCAGGGCGTCGTAGAACTTGCTATTTGTCTCTTCTGAACTGGTAATCAGGGAGAGGAACGTAGATTCTGACGATGGTGGCGAATTTTCCACCCCAAATAGGCAGACGAGGGCTTATCAGGCAATCACTGGTGCCCGGCGAAAAACAGGGTAGACGTCCCACAATGTCGGCCCAGATGACCAGGGCGACGTCGGCCCCGCGTCGCTTTGCCTGCGGGTGGCCACTCCAGAAGAAGATAAAACCGGCACCAACTTCTCCACATGGTTTCAGAGAAAGGAGTTTAACTGAATGCCGTGATGTAGACCCTGAAGCGCCCCAGTTCCCGGGCGCTAATCACTGCTTTTAGTTCTGGTCGGTTGCTGTTCGGGCTATCGAGAAGCGAGCGGATTTTTCAGTTTGCTATGTTGAGATGACTCACACTAACGCCATGAACTTTCCCTTGAAACAGGAGAGGATGAGGGAGGGGTGGGACGAGAAAGGTTTAGAGTATTTCGATCGCAGTGTTTGCAGTCTGACAGCCACCGTCTGTTGGCAGAATTCGTGACCCACTTGGCTCCGTCTTCGGCGCAGGAATAACCAGTGCTGTCCCTAAATAGGGCTACGTAGTCGCTTCGAACGGCTGCTGAATCCAACTATGGGTCACATTTATGGGTTAAGTGGAAGAACGACCCCAAGTTTCAAGACGCCTATGTGATTGCATTTCGCCCTAGCCGCGGGACGTATTCGACCGCGGAGAAAATGGAGTGGGGCGGGAGCAGTAGTACCCATCGTAATAGCCGTAATGGCGGTAAGGCCGTATTTCCAAGATCGCTGCAATCAATTCTATTAATAGAGCGACTAACAGCATTGCTACCACGACTCGTACTTTCGCTATTGTCATTAGAATACTAAGTCTGCTGAACTAAGAGTACTAGTGATAGCAGCGTTATTATTATTATTATTTGTACTTAACGTACGTAGCCACCACCTGCCCGAAGAAGATGATACGACCTGCCGCGACCTCAGATTGGACTCTTAACTGCGCATAAGATACCCTCATTCGCATATACACATTAATTGTCAGCTTACCAATGCAGTTTGCACTTGTTAAGGCATACGATGGACGATGTGATACACGTAATGATACTGCGATAGAAGGCTGAACAAAATCGAGATCATAAAGTGTGAACACGAACGAGGGCAAAGATGCCTCTTCACACACATTTTTGGATGAATGTTAACCCGAAGCCACGCCAGGGTTGCAGCGCTGAAAAATTGAGGCATGATGTGGTAGCCAGCTCGATCCCAATTGTATATTTCTTTTGACATTGGTGGTAAACTGACATTAAATTTAATTATTGCTTAATAACTATTCATTTAATGTGATTCGTAATATAATAGAATGATTGATACCATTCACAGTTGCTCGCCGCTGAACGTTAACTGCCCTTATCCATACCCGTTGTTTTTAAGAGATCCATCCAACTAAGCCTAAATAGTCTGTCAAACCACATAACTGAATGACGCAGGTGATGATCAGCACTTTGCTTCACACTTACGCGTAAAATCAACATATGGCCACTCGGGTTTTCTTTTTCATGTGTATGAACATTTATTTTCCCTTCTTTGAACGCTCGTAAGCTTTTGGTGACCAGGAAATTTTTATTTAGTGAACATTTCTTCCCGAGTTTAACAGTACGTCCTCAAAAGTCGTCGAGTACGGGGTTATTTTTCATTCTTCAGCCTTCGAATCGCCATCGATACTTTGAGCCGGTACTATTTTATTTTAGATAGATAGTACTGGAATAGTAGTATCAGTATATTGAGGGATATATAGGAAAAATTCCTTTGATTGCCTTGTTTGAACATATGTGCAGTGGTAGCAGAAAATTTGTTTCTCAGACTGTTGGCAAGGCCAGTTTTCCTGTGTCATAGGATGAAAATAGGGGCAGACAGTGAAAAATACTCCTCAGGGATTTTAAGGAGAAAAACTATCGCTCTTATGGGGGTAATGCGTGGGATTTAGGAGAAAA